ACTCGGGAGGCTGAGGCAGAAGGATCACTTGAGCCCAGGAGTTTGAGGTTGCTGTGAGCTAGGCTGACGCCACAGCACTCTAGCCCAGGCAACAGAGCGAGACTCTGTCTCGAGGTGGGGGGGGGGTGGGGACGAAGAAAGAAATTTCTTGGCTAGAGAATTTGCAAAGCCGTTTCTGCAGATCCTGTCAGATTCTGTTCCTTTTTATTTTGCTTTCCCGTCTTCCTGCTGCACACCTACCCCTGTGTGATTTTTTCAGTCCTCTCATCTTGCAGACCCCGTGGCTTTTGCTTTGTTTCTGCACCTGTCTTTCAAGCAGACAGATCCGATTCAGTCATTTGCACATCTGCTGTGGCACCAAGAGAATGTGCCTGTATATCCATTTCCCCCTTAACTTTTTTACTTTTGATCATATAGTCCTTTTTATCCCTTGGCCTAGAAAGTGCATCATCATTTTTAGATTTTCCTGATTTGAAAGCCACCAAGGAATAAATACCACTTCTCTAAAAGGAATTGTTTGTTATTTTCTATAATCCAGGCAGTTCTTTGAACAATGCTCGTTATTCACTGCATGTCCATGTCAATGCCGTGTTTGCTTATCTGTGTGTATCTAGAATGGGGCTGCTTTCTGACGGTGGTTTTGCTCATGTGACTTAGAAAGCAGTTCCAGACTGTGCAGGTCAGGTGCTTATTAATTCTGCATCCAGGTTTAGCCTGAGTTTAGTCTAAGGTTTACTTTCCCAGCAAGTGATGAAATGCCTCTCTTTGTCTTCTGGGGCCCAGCAGGGCTTGGTTGTGAGCCACTCCTCATCAGGTGCAGCTGCAGCAGTTCTCTCATCTTTCAGGATTGTGGCTGTGTCCAGTTAAGTTCCATCGGCAGGAAACAGAGACTGTGCAGAGCTGGTCGTTTTACTTTCATGGGGGAGTCTTTGCTCCCTCCTGTTTTCGATTCCATTTCCTTTGCTCTCTATCTCTGAGTCACGTCTGACTTAAGGGTGTGAGATCTGTTTAGGAACTGTCACCTCATGGTTCTACCAACTGGTGTCTTCCCCTCCCACCCCAATTCTTCCCATTCCTGCTTGCGATTTATGGTGATACCATTGGTGCCTTCTGTATTGCCGGGCCCTGCATTGGTGCTTCTCAGGGCAAAGTCTCGCTGGACCCTCAACAAACCCACAGGGTAAGGCCCACTTCCAACTCGCTGATAACCACACTGGGTACTCCAGGAGGATGTATGTAGCCACATTAACACAGCAGGAAGAGGCAAGGGAGGCTCCTAAATGCTTTGCTTCTATCTTCTATCCCAGGGGAGTCATAGTCAGTAACTATTTCTACATATTGTGGTGGCTTAAAAAAACCTGATTTAGAAAAAAAAAACAGTTACTTTGGTTTCAAGAAATAAGAAGCCTTGAAACACTCTCAGCCTTGGACCGTATCCTCCAGGCACCAGAGGTGTGCTGACCTGGGCCCTCCCACCCCACATGGTGCCTGTTGGTCCTGCAGCAACAGCCCCCCACCCCACCACCAACTGGCTTCCCCCGAGAGCCCCAAGGCAACACCAGGGGCTTCTGGCAAGGATGTTCGCATCCCTGCCCTGCTCTCTGCAGGCCACCTGGGGGTGAGGGGCTCTCACTTTGGCCTCTTTCTCATCATGAGGAAGGAGACATAAAAGATACCTTTTGACATTACATAGTAAAAATCATAGCAATGACCTAGCAACCTTGGATAGGATATCCTACGTACTTTGTGAGATGGGTATAATTTCTGCTTCCTTTATATTTCTGATTTGCAAATTTATGTTAAAAGTTTTACAGAGGTACAAAAATGAAGTTGTTTGATTGGCATCAGACTGGCAGTTCTGGGGAAGTGACTAGCTCACCGTGACACTCAGCCCAGCCCACCCTTAGGAACAGTGTCGTTGTGCAGATTGTCAAGGCGTCACTGATGCTGATGCCCTGGTCAAAAAGCAGTGACATTTGAAGACAGCAAGAAATCTGATGCTGTTTGGGAATTAGAGCTTTGTGTCTGAAAGGCATAGCCTCAGTTCTGTGGTCATTTGCACGTGAGGAAGCCTCGATTTCCCGGTGATGCTAGGTAAACTCTTCCTTATCCAATGGATAAAGCCATTGTTCACACGACAAATGTTTCCCGAGTACCTACCGTGTGTCATCTTGTTGAAGGCACTGTAAACACAATTTAGAGGCACACATTGTGGCACATCCTCTTTGTATGTATTTAAAGTGAGGGGCCACTCCCTGTGTACCAGAGAAAGGTAGGTCAGTGGCCCTGGGAAACGGATGTCAAAGAGTGCTAGGATCCAATTTCTCGCAAGCCTTGGAGCGTTGCTAAGTCTCATAGTGGATCCACATTTTGAACCTAGTTCTCTGGCCCCCAGTCGGTCCTTCCGACTCCCGCTAATGCCAGCCTATGAGGCCTTCCAGAAGAAGAGAATGTTCGAGTCTTGAGCCTTTGGGCAAGTTATTTCCCAGCTCACTGGTAGTTGCTGAGAGCCCCTCCTTCCCCAGGGGAGAGGTGGGATTCTCTTTCTCCAGCCCTCCTGTCAGCACACAGAGGAGCTCGCAGAGAGGGAAGCTGATTGTCAGCAGACACATCTGGCTCATAAAGCAGAGGTGTCAGTGGGTCAGAGGAAATTAGGTCCAGCCCAACTGTCTACTGACTGGCCACACAGAAGTCTCAAAAGGAGAAGGGACGAAAAGCTGTTATGAGGAGACATTGGCGGGCCCACGCAGGCCCGAGCTTGGCGGCACAGGCTGAAGCTCTGAGAAGTGGGTGTGGTGCGGCCCTCCCCGGGCCGAGAGCGATTGGCTGCATCCCTTCTGAGTCCACCTGCCACAGACATGCCGTGTGGACTGTCCTCAGCTCCAAACTGGGAGCGGCCTTGAGTTGGGGGGAGAGCATCCCTGGGCCGCAGACTTGAAAGGAAGGCTTGTCTGCCCACATAGGACTGGGGGGATTCACCTCTTGTCTCGCTCCTTGCTTGCCTCTGCCGGGTGCAGTGACACACAGCAACGGGGCCGGCTTTGTCACAGGGCTGAGGCGCGTCCAGGCCTGACTCACAAGCTCAGCTGTGGGTGCCAGGCTTACATCTTGGTCCCCAGGCTGGGTGTCTGCTTATCGTACGTGGCAGCATGCCATTTATCCACCTGGGACTCTCTGAAGGGCTCCCCTTCCGCGTGGGGGCCTTGCCTGCCCCATGGTGACCGAATCACAGAACCACGAGGCACTGGAGATGGATCCCAGGGTTGGGTGGGACCTCAGCCCAGCTCTAGCTCATCTCCTCAGCCTCTTCCACGTGTCCCCTTTTTCCTCTGTGACCAGGCATCCCTCCCAGTCGGTGGCCTTCTGGAGCTTCTCTTGGTGCTCTGGGCCTCTTCTCTTGCTGGTCTGTGGGGAGCAGCAACTTCTCTGGAAAGCACCCCAACTTCTCCTCCATCAACATTATACATGTTCCTGCTGTTCCCCCAAACATGGCCTCCAGCTGAGGAGCCTTGCTTCTGGGGCCACATTCCTGGTGGCAGGCCATTGCCCTGCCCTGCCGAAGGCCCCCTGCCCTTCCTGTCCCTGCCACAAGGGAGGCCTTGGGAGGGGACCAGCAGAGGCAGACTCTTGTGCTGGCTGCAAAGCACCTCTTGCCTGGACTGCTGAGCCTCTGCGCACATGCTTGTGTGCGTGTGTGCACGTGTGTGTCAGGAGCCTGTGGCTCTGGCTCTGGCTCGCGCTCCCAAAGCTGTCCCTCCCGGCCCACTTGTGTCTTGTGGGCATTTGGCTTTAGACACAGCTCCACGTCTCCCCAGCCGCTGCTCACCCTCACCCCAGAGGCATCTCCAGTCCCCGCCCTCAACCCCACCTGCTGACCCCCCAGGCCTCACTGGCTCCTCCTCCCTCTCTTCATTCATTCTTTTTGCTGCATCCAGGAAGGTCTTAAAACTCAGATTTGGTCACGCACTGTTCTTTTCTGCCCCTGACTGGATCAGGCTCCACGGGTGACATCAGGGACATTCTAACCCACAGCCGGGGATAGGGACTGTGGTCACTGTTGCCATGTGAATAACACAGAGACCTGGCAGCCTTCCAGCCACACCTCCCTGGACCTCTGTGCCTTTCTCATGGGCTCTTTGCCTGGAGCACCTCCTGCTCCCCCTTTTCCGTGGGAACCCCCCTCACTTCCTTTCAAGGCCCAATCCCAGGTGTCCCCGTCCCACACCGTTCTCCCACAGAGCGCGGGGAGCTGGAGTCTTCTCCTCAGCTCCAGGTCTACCATCCAGCAGCCGCCAAGGCTCTTGGCAGGCACCAGTTGCTCTTCGAACGTCTGTGGTACCTGGCAGGAGCGGCGTTAGGCGTGCGTGCTGGGTCCTGAGGAGGTCTGACCGGGGCAGTGTGGTGGACTAGCCCGGGAGCCTTTTGGAACATGGAACCTGGGGCACGGTGGTCCCTCAGTTGGATCCTGTTACTGTCTGAACTGCATTCTTGGCACATGTCGTGAGTGTCGTCCCAGCGCTTCTCCCTCCTCTTTGCGAGGCTCATTTTGCTCATTTCCACGCTGCTGTTACTTGTTCATGAAGGACTGATGCCCTAAGACCCACTCTCTGGTTGTAACTGATTCCTTGTCTAATGCTTTGCCTGACAGTCGGCCCTACTTCATTGTGGCACGTGGGGGCCTCGGTGGGGCCAGGTCACCTCTGCGCTCCTTCCCCCGAATCAGTTCCCGGCCACCGGCAGGTAGGGTCTGACTTCAGAGCACCAGCCTCTCCTCTTTGTCGGAAGGGGGTGTCCCCTCTTCCCCAGGCACCTGCCAGGCACTCTGTGGCTTCTGTTCCCCTTGCTGGATTGGAGGGAAAGCGAGCCCACCCTCTCAGGCCAAGCAGGCCCCCTTCCCACTTAACCGGACACTGGACAGCCTTTGATAACAGGACAACCTGTGCAAACCCCAAAGCGAGCCATAACCAGATGCCAAGTGTCTGCTTGAGAAGTAATTCTTTTTTCTTTCTCTTTCAGTGGTTAATATCACAGCAAGTATCCTTTTCTTGTTGGTGCTGTTCCCTTTAAGGAATTCTCTGTTTGAATAACGAGAATGTCTTAGAAACTTGAATCCCATCTCATGTTGTAGTAACCAGAGAGTGTAGGCTTTGCCCCACAGGCCGCCTAGAGAATCCTCACTCAGCTCCCTTTGAGGCCAGCAGCTTCGCCTGGACGCCGTGCTCCTGTCGTCTTCCCTTCACACTCCGGCATCCAGCTCCTAGCCCCGCCCTGTGACAAGCTCAGGGTTCGCTGGGGGACACCAGAACTTGGAATTTCAAGGCAGACAGGGACACGCTGCCTGGCAGACGTCTGCGGTGTAGGAGCCCCGAGCTGTCGCCTTCTAAACTGACCTTTCCTTGCAGTCTCTGTACTTCCTTAACTGGATGTCACTAGATCCCGCAGTTCGAAGATGTTAAATTTGAAGCAGCAAGTCTGTTATCTGAATTATATTGTCAAGAGGTAAGAACACATTAAGGTTTCTGAAAGCAAAATGTCTCTCCTTGTCGCTAAGACACAATGGCAAACAGTGGCTCTGGAGAGCTGAAATCCACTCTGGCTTTTAACTCTTCAAATTACTTTCCTTCCTCTTACAGCCCAGCGTTGGGGCAATCACATGCCGACAAGGGCCGGCAGAGTCGTCTTCTGCTGGAGACTGCTAGGAAAGGCAGCCTCGATCCTAGCCTAACGAGTCTGTACAGTTTGCCTTCTTAATCCGATTTCTGATTTCAGTCGTAGCTGAAAATTCGCCTTCTTCCGCTCGGAACATGACACCTTGAGGTAGCCGGGCGGCAGGGCGGTGTGTTTCACACCCTGCTGTCTCTCTGTGGTCTGAGAACACAGATTTGGGAACCTGCTTTCAATTTGTCTGTTAAGGATTTTGAACTGAAGCTACTTTCAGTTTAGTTGAATGGGAAGTTATTTTAAGAGTGGTGCAGAAACTTCCCAGCTAGTGAGCCCAATAAAATATCTTTCTTGCTTTTAATAAACTTAATTGGCAGTCCAAAAAAATCCTTTGGTAAGCATGAACAGGAACCGCCTTCTGGCACCACAGCTGCCGCTAAGAAACCCAGCTTGATTGTCGGCTTGTTTTTTTTCTCCCCCCTCCTCAAACGTGACTATTTCCTTTCAGAATTCCGTCGATGCAGCAAAGCCGCTGCTGCGGAAGGCGATCCAGATCTCTCAGCAGACCCCGTACTGGCACTGCCGCCTGCTCTTCCAGCTCGCGGTGAGTGCTGTGGCCCAGACAGGCCCGCAGAGGCCATGACTCTGGGGCACACACACCCCGAGTACAAGCAACAGCAGAGTCTGAGATACACAGGCCCCCTCGAGCTGCCATGCTGAGTGGGTGGCGATATGGGGGTGTTCCTTTAACCTGCTCACAAGCCTCCTCTAGCGTCTTCACTCAGCACCACCCAGGGGTGATCGGTGGCAGTGCCTGTCTCCCTGGGGACCATCAGAGGGCATGTTGCTCACCCTCCTCCTGGCTGCTCCTTTTGGCCTGTGCTTATTGAAATCCAAGGAGCTTTTCCTACCAGAGAGCTGCTGTGTTTTTGTAAGAGCTGCACTGAGATTCCAAGGGGCTGCCTTTGGGCAACAAATGCCCAAGTCAAGCCTTGTTTCCCAGAGCCCTAGTTTCGGGGGCCCCTGGGGCACAGCCTCGTCCTGGAATCCACACGGTTCCCCTTCCAGCTCCCTTTAGCTCCCCAGACGTAGTTGGAGCCCCAGTCCCTGCCCTCCAAGATGCTCAGTTGGGGGAGGGGGTGACTTTCTAGGCTGGGCCTTCCTGGTTGTAGTGGCGGGGCCACAGGCACCATCGTGTGGGCACCTCTTCTGTCCTGGGCTCTGCTGTACCTCCCTGTGACTGGGTATCCTCAGCTGTCCATCTCTGGCTGGCCCCCAGCCTCTCTAGTCCTGACCCAGCCTGCCCTCCAGGCCTCCCCATGGCACAGCCCTGTCACCCACCTAGGCAGGCAGCATGTGGACCCTGGATTGGGAGTGTCCTCCACGAAGCCCTTCACCCCAGGAGGGTCTGGCTGGGAAAGTGCCCTAATGGGAAAAGCTCACCCAGCAGCAGGGGCTCCCAAGGCCCTTCCCCCGCTCCCGAGGCCCGCTTAGGCCCCACTTGTACACACTGGCTCCTTTCATCGTCCCACGCACACTTGTGCCCATTGGCAGAGGAGGGAGCAGGTCAGGCAGTGAGTCACCTGCCCTAGGTCACAGAGTTGGTGGGTCATGTGCTTGTGCCACAGGTGTGCCTCCCAGGCTTAAGCCAGGTTCTTGCCCCCCTTTCAGCCTGTTAGGGCTTCTGTATTTGAAACTCCCCTGGACACTTACCCTGAGGGAGTCCCTCCTTGTGGGCCCTGGAGATGCCCCCAGTGACTCAACCCCACAGGTCACCTAGGAAGCGCTCAAACAGCCCCGAGAGGACGGAGGCAGGGGTGGAATCTGTGCCCAGAAAACATTAACTGCTGGTTCTGTGCACCATTAAGTTTAGATAATGTGTACAGCAGGCACCATTAAGTTTAGATGATGTATATACTGTAGGCAGTCTGGAGCTCTGTATCCAAAGCAATTAACATTGATGTGATAATTTGGTTAATTTAGCTCAAAACTGACACTAAGGCAATTTTGTTGATGTGTGGGGAGGTTTGGTTGAACTTGCTAACAAAGCAGCCAGGCCAGCCTCTGTAAAACAGAGGGGTTTGGCAGCAAAGGTCATTGCTCTCTCTCCTTTTTAGCAACTGCACACACTTGAGAAGGACCTGGTGTCAGCCTGCGACCTCCTGGGCGTGGGGGCCGAGTACGCCCGGGTGGTGGGATCCGAGTACACACGGTAGGCAGCAGCTCCCCCTCCCCTCCTGCTCGCTTGCATAGAGAGGGCTCAGCCCTCTTAATCAGAGACAGCAAACAGTCAGCACTGCAGCGTGGAAAGATGGCCACCCTCACACATAACGAGGGGCTTGGAGATTAAAGCTGCACCAGGAAGCATTTCGCACCGTTGGTTCATAAAGTGAAATGTTGGCGAGTCACTTTCTTGAGGGCGAGGGGCAGCCGGCATGCTCCACCCCGTGGGACCTGCTCATTTCTAGCGTGCTTGCGATAGAAAGTGCTCGTCTCATTTGCTCAGCTGTTGGGCTTCATCGCACAAATGTGTCCTTGTTGGTGTGGGGCGTGCATGGCACTGACCGTAGGCCGCTTCAGTGTCCGCCCGCTCGGGGGGCCAAGGAGCTTGTCAGTGCATAACAGGAGGCAGAGCAGGCCAGCATTTGTGTAGCAGAAGGGACATAGGTTCATGTTATGCACGAAGCTGCTTAAACTGTCTGGAGACTGGTATCCTGGGGTTAGAGGTCAGGGAGCTCTTGTGCTCCCTGTGTGCCCTCCGCGAGGGCCTCCTCTCTGTCTCTTCCCCCCACATAGAGGAATCCTCTGTAGCGGGCAGGCTCCAGGCAGCAGTACTCTTACTCTGTGTGTTGGGATTCTAGAAGGTTCCCACAAAGGGCCTTCCTGGCCTGAGTGAGAGTGCACTGGGACTGGCCCCCTGTCTGTCAGAGTGCACTTGTACCATGGAGTTGTCGGGACACAGCAGCCTCCAACTCTGCTCTCAGTCCCACTCTAAGCTCTAGACTTGTGAGCACCCATTGGGCACCACGCAACTCCTGACAGCTCCCCAAAGGGTGTCCTTGTCCCTAGAGTGCTGCCGGGGGGTGGGGCAGAGCTGTTGCTTGTCCACCCTGCCTACTCCCCTATGTGCTTCCCAGACAGGCTGCTGTGGGCAGCCAGCCTGGAGTGGACATGTGGTCTGTGCAGAGTGGCCGAGGGTCGGTGCCTGCAGGTCTCCTGGCTCAGGGCCTCTCACCAGTGACACAGAGCCTCTAAGCAAGCACATTTTTTGTGAGACAACATGGGAACCTTGATGTGATGTCTCCTCCCTTAGATTTCAAGAAGCAGAAGCTGGGTAGATAGATCCCTGAGTGTTCACGAGTGTTCATGCCGTGAGCTAATGATAGGGATCAGCACTGTGGCCTGGAGACAGGCAGGGGAGCCGAGCTGCTCAGCGCGTGTCCCTGCTCTAGCCCTCGAACGCTGTGCAAACTTGACCTCTCTGCCTTGGTCTCCTCACCTGTAAAATGGGGAGAACAGCACCTGCTTGGTAGGGTGTCGGCCACAGCACACAGGTGCTCTGCGAAGGATGGCAGAGGAAAGGATTCAATGTTGAAAAAACTGGGGGCTCCCCAAAATTTGGCACTGCACAATTACAGCTGCTCCTAAAGGCAGGGTCCCCACAAGCCCACTACCAGCATGCTGCACACCTCCAGGGCTGAGGTGGGGCAGGGCCACCCCACCTCCCTCCTCTGTTACTTATACTGTTTTCTAAACTTTCCTTGATATATTGTATTATTTTTCTTGCCAAGGACAGCTGCACGTGCTACTTTAGAAAGTGCAGAAGGTTTAAGAGAGACTATAGACGTCTCCCGAGGGTGAAGGTGGTGACTAGAGGCGAGGCTGCTGATATGCCTGGGGCTTCCCAACTTCGTCCCCTTTGCCCTGAGAGGCACGCGAGGAGGCTCAGCCCAGTTCACGGACCAGGCAGTGCAGGGCAGATGGGCCCGAGTCTGCCGCTTGCCCCTGCCCAGTGTGGCTGCTGACGCCGAGCCCATGTCTGCTGTGTCAGCAGGACTGAGATTAGAGCGGTGCGCCATCCTCTAGCCCACCGGGAACACCGCCTTCTGAGTGCTGTGTCTTCTGGGCTTTTGAACCACACTATTGTGTCTAAACCTTGCAAGAAAAGTAAATACAGATAGAATAAAACAAAATAGAGCAGTCGCGTAAATAAAACAAACCTCATTGAGTACTGTTCCCTGTGATCCATTTAACCTTCCCCCGAGATGGCGTGTTAGGTCCTGTGAGCACTGGGGCACCCACAGTTAGCTTGGGAGCCTCTGGGGCCTTCTCAGACCTGACTCCCTGTCTCTGTTTTCCAGGGCGCTGTTCCTCCTCAGCAAGGGGATGGTAAGTCAAGGCTGGGCAGGATGGCTAGGTGCCCACAGGTATTGGGGAGATGGGGCTGGGGCCACCACAAGTTCTGCTTAGATTTGTGCTGAGGCGGGAGCCTGGTTTCGAGCGGCTGGGGCTGGGATTTCAGGCTGGCTTTGCTCCCTGGGGCAGGAGTGGCACGCCTAAGGCAGGCGGGCAGGTGGCCCTATGCTCCCGGGAGGGGCTCCCGCAAGCCCAGGGCCCAGCTCACGCGCCTCTGCCTCCCCAGTTGCTGCTGATGGAGCGCAAGTTGCAGGAGGTCCACCCACTGCTCACCCTCTGTGGACAGATCGTGGAGAACTGGCAGGGGAACCCCATCCAGAAGGAGTCACTGCGTGTCTTCTTCCTGGTGCTGCAGGTGACCCACTACCTGGATGCGGGGCAGGTACGTGGTGCCTCTCACAGGAGGGCTGCTAGAGGGTGGCGGGTAGGCACAGGCGGCACATGAACGATGGGCCTCCGGGCAAGAGGTCTGCTCTGTCATCGCCTCTCCTCACATGGCAGGGCTGTCACCCCAGCCCCAACACATACACACACACCCCCACCCCGCTCTGGTATACACTTGCCAGATATTCTTGTCTCTGGGAGCCAGGTCTGTCCCAGTGGCCCTGCCCTCACCCTAGAAATAGTGACATGTGGCCTCACACACGTTTGCTCAGTGCACAAAACACCCAAAGCCTCCAAGGCCTCCAATGCTCGGAGAATCCAAGAGAATAAACCATGTGGGTTTGGGGGTGGTGCCTGGCACAAAGCAGGTGCTCAAGCACCTGCTGTATTTGTGTGACCATCTCGGCCCTTTGCAGGGTGGGGCTGTTTGTCCCCCTCAGCCCCACCCCCATCCCAGTGGGCCAGTCACTGGTGGAGCCCAGCAGCAGCGAGGGCCCGGAAAGCATTTTTGGACCTCTTGGCAGGGGGCTTCCTCAGTTCCCCCACCCACACCCACCTTTGCCCCTTAGGGCAAGTGCCAGCTCAGCGTGTAGAACGCGGAGCAGACTGCAGCCACCTGTTCTCATGGGGCACTGGGGCTGCAGAGACGTCCCTCGGGCCCGGTGCAGACAAGCCAGTCTGTATTAGGCATGGCACCTGTGGGACTCCTGGGCCACCGCCCACCCCTGAGGTGTCCCAGCCTACTCTACTCCTACTCCTGCCTTCTCGGGGTCTGGCTGCAGGAAGGCCAGGTGCAGCTCCAGCAGACTCTGTAGACAGGCCTCTCCTGGGCCTTGGTGTTGCGACGATCCGCCTGGCCCTGCTGTGTGCCCTGAGAGCCCGGCTAATCCATGGGGATGGGGTGGGGGGTGGATCCCTCTCCCAGGAGGTGGATGTGGACATTCCCAGGAGGAAGGGGCAGAGGGGTGGCTGGGTCGGGCCTGGCCTCCTCCTGAGGGCCCTGGCTGCTGGTGGGGAGCTGCAGGGCAGGAGCAGGCACTCAGGCGAGGGTGCCCGCCTCGCAGGTGAAGAGCGTGAAGCCGTGCCTGAAGCAGCTGCAGCAGTGCATCCAGACCATCTCCACGCTGCACGACGATGAGATCCTGCCCAGCAACCCCGCCGACCTCTTCCACTGGCTGCCCAAGGAGCACATGTGTGTGCTTGTCTACCTGGTGCGTCCCTGCTGGGGCCTGAGGCCAGGGTGGGCAGGTGGAAAAAGGGCCCCCACCCACTGCCATCTGTCTTGTCACCAGGTGACCGTGATGCACTCCATGCAGGCCGGCTACCTGGAGAAGGCGCAGAAGTACACCGACAAGGCCCTCATGCAGCTGGAGAAGCTCAAGAGTAAGTGTCCGGCGGCTGTGTGGCCACAGCGCCCCCTGGTGGGCAGCCTGGCCAGACGCTGCCTGTGCTGGGACCGAATGACCCTGACTGACCACAGCGCTGGAGCAGTCCCTGCCTGGGAGGGTCTCTTCATCCCCAGTTGGTGAATGCCAGTGGCTGTTGTCAGAGCACAGCAGGCCAGGCATGGGTTCAGGGGCCAGGGCCCTGCAGCAAACCAGATGCTCAGGTGAAGCAAGTGGTGGCTGCTTTTGCCAACTATTAGCCACATTGTGACGGGGATACGCTCAGGGGAGGCTGTGACTGGAACTCAGCTCTCACTGACTGACAGCAGGTCCTTTGGAGGTCACAGGTTCTTTCCAACCACTCACCTATTTAATCCATCCTGTGGAACCAGGGTCCTTTGACTGGCACAAACCCAGAGCCCCAGGTGTCCCTGGCTGGCTCAGCGTCCCTGTTAATTTGATGGTGTGCTCCCTTGGGAGCACTGCTGGGGGAGAAGTCATTAGAACTGGGGAAGACCAAAGCCTGTGGGGCCCGTGTGTCTCTTTCTCTGTGGCCAGATTGGGAAAGAGCCATGCTGTGTGGTTCTGACATGCGGACAGCTGCTCAGGGCTGCCAGGAGCTGGGGCCCCACCCGGGGTCCCCCAGCCACACTGCTACCTGAGGCCCTGTCACAGGGTCTTGTGATCCAAGGCAACTTCCACATTTCTAGAACCTGCCATATCCAAATGCCCTTGCGTGTTTAGTGGGGTGAGAATCAAAGACAAATCCATGGATTCCTTACTCTTAGAACGTTCTGGCAATCAGTCCCTGACTCTAGCGCTGTCTCCTCACCTGGACACAGAGATGAGCTCCCTCACACTGAGGGTACAATGAGGACTAAGGAGGATGACGGGGTGGGTGCCAGGCTGCTGTGGCAGGAGACAGGGACGGGGGGCGAGGTGGGGCTGGGCCTCCTGCGCTGCGTGCTCACCCACTACTCTCCTCCGCAGTGCTCGACTGCAGCCCCATCCTGTCCTCCTTCCAAGTGATCCTCCTGGAGCACATCATCATGTGCCGGCTCGTCACGGGGCACAAGGCCACGGCGCTGCAGGAGGTAGGGCCAGTGGGGGCTGTGCAGACACACGGGTTTGCCAGGTCTCAGAGGTGTCAGACAGGAAACTGGGAACTCACCAATCACACGTTGGCAGGACGTCGTGTCGTGCTGTCTCACTGTCACTCAGCAGTTCACAGCCCTGCGTGGGGATTACTGATTAGAGAACCCGGTGCAAAAACTCGTGGCCCCTTTCCCAAAAGCTGGCACGCCCAGGGAATGTTGCACATGGTGTCCAGGGATTTGGGGTCCTCGGACAGTGATCCTCATACCCTGTCCTGCCCCAGGGTTTGTAACCTCAGGTGCCCGTGCTGCTGAGGGCATGGGGGCCCCGAGTAGGCCAGCGTGCTGTACAGCCAAGACACACGTTGGGAAGGACAGGGAAGGCGGGTAACGGACAAGGGTCACTGTCCATGATGGGGTCAGGGCCATACTTTGCCATTATGGTGGGCACATCCACCTGGACTTTGTATCCCAGTTTGGGCAGGCAGGGCACCGGCATACCTGCCAGCTGTGGGGTCTCTCCAGTGCTGCTCAGACACCGGGTCCCAGGCTACAGGCCGTGTGACAACGGGCATGCTCTCTTCGGCAGATCTCCCAGGTCTGCCAGCTGTGCCAGCAGTCCCCCCGGCTCTTCTCCAACCACGCGGCACAGCTGCACACGCTGCTGGTGAGTAAACCCGGGACAGCACCCCAGGCAGAATCTGGAACGTTCCCAGTAAATAATCACGTAACCACCTCAGTCAGGATCCGGAACATTCCTAGTGAAGAACCCCATGACCACCCCCCAGGCAGAATCCTGAGTGTTCCCAGTGAGCTTTCTTCTGAGAAGCATCTCATCGAGTCCCAAGTTGACTTGGGCCTGGGAGGTGGAATTATCAGACACAGTATCTTTATCGTCGCTGGCTCAGGAAAGTCGCGTGTCGTGTTCATCCAGGTGCAGCCAGTGTCAGCCCCGGGCAAGCTGCATGTGGCTCTGATCTAAGCCCTCATTGGGGACCCCCCAGAGGCCACCCTGAGTGACAGCACCTTCTTCTTCCAGGGTCTGTACTGTGTCTCCGTCAACTGCATGGACAACGCGGAAGCCCAGTTCACCACAGCCCTGCGGGTAAGGTGCCGGCCCCTGGCTCCTGGGGCAGGCGACACTTCTGAATAAGGATTCAGGCGCAGTCTGTGATGAGGACAGCAGCCACATTAGGTCAGCCACGTGAAGCTGCGGTCCCAGAGGGCAGCTTCACAGCAGTTAGCCTGATGCTGGCATGACAGTGACATCATGCTGTTTACCCAGCTGAGGGATGGCTATGGGCGAGGTGGGCTCCTGGCCAGCCAGGGCTGGGGGCTTCCTGCGCTAGCCCGAGGACAGGTGTGAGGGAGAGGCCCAGCCCCTTTCACATCGGACTGGGAGCCTTGTGACACCCACCGCCCCCAGGCTGGGATGGCTCCTGTTGCAGCGGAAGACATGGAGTCACCCAGGTTCAGGGGCTCCCTGGAGTCACCCCATGGTGAGTGGCAGAGCTGGAATGCCCCCCAGGTGCTGCATGGGCAGAAGATACCTGGTCCTGCTGGGTCAGGGAGGAGGTATAAACACCCCAGGCTTCCGGCCTCACACTAGGGTCCCACCGGGCCCTGGAAGAAGGCTATTGCCATGTCCTCAAGGGGTGACCCAGCCCAGGCCCGGGTCCCAGCTCTGCCTGCCTTGCTCTAAGACCAGACAATGTGTCCCTACCTCAGCCTCGGTGTCCTCACAAGAAACGGACGCTGTCGACACCTTCCGTCTGGGTGGTTCCAGGAAAGTCCCCAGTAGAGATGTCAGGCAGCAAGGGCTGCTCTATTCTCATCTCAGACGAGGTCACAGGGAGCGCAGTGCACACCCTCTGCCTATCAAATGGGGGATGGGGTCTCCCCTCTGCCCTCCAGGGTGTTCCACATGTCTGTGGGTGTCTCCATGCCGGCTGCTGGCCTCAGGTGCGCAGGTGCCTTGCAGACGGCATGCCTGGGCGTGCAGCTCGGCCTCAGCGCCTGCTCCTCTGCCCGCACCCCTCATTCCCTGGGCCTTGGCTGGCTCCTGCTGCAGCAGTGCCCAGACCCTTTCCCGGCGCCATGACGGTCTTGCCACCTCCTCCCCATCTCACTCCCACAAGGGGCTGCTGCTGCTGCTTTTGTTCAGCATCAAAGTGCCCAAAACCATGCACCCCAGGCAGGAGTCCTCCCCACCAGGCCAGGAGGGGGCTTCATTTCCATGGCCCAGCCGGGAAGCAGTGACGCCGAGTGCAAATCCAAACCCACCTGACCCCAGATGTGCTCCTGTGTCCCACAGCAAACGTTGCCACCCGTGCTGCATCCCAGAGCATCTTTGCTTGGGTCAGAAGACCCTCTGGGCTTCCTTGGCCGTGCCAGGGTCCTGTGGGTGGGGTCTGCACCTCCCGGGCTCCCTCAGCCTCTTGGGAACCAGGATCTGGGCAGCGCTTGAGCCACTTGGATTGGCCCCTCTCCTGACTGTTCTCCTTCCCCTAGAAGAGCCAGGGACACCACAGTCCCTGCACCACTGGTCATTGCCAGTGTTTCTGGGCTCTGACACAGACAGCATCACCTACCTTTAGGGCGGTTCCTGGACCCCCGGGTGACAGCTCCCCACCCCACCACCCTGGGAAGAGTGGTCCCTCCAGGACTGGCTTGTGCCTCTTTGTCAGCATGCACCCGGGTCCCAGAAGTTGCCAGCAGTGGTATGGAGGAAGGGCCACCAGGTCTCAGTCCTGCGAAACAGCAGGAAATAGACCCAGACGCAGCACATTCCGAGGGTGGGATCAGGAGTGGCTGGTTTGCCTTTTCTCTGTTTTCTAACTGTCCTGTAACCCAGATGATGGTTTTGTAATGAAAAGAATGAACAGCTGCATTACCCTTGGCTTTAGGGGTGAGTGGGATGCATCTGAAATGAAGAGAGCAAGTTATTTCCAAAGTAGCTGCCATGGAGCTTTTGGGTGGCTCTGACACCACCAAGCGGGCCCTGGTGTGACGTGGCCATACCCGGCCCAGCCTCCTAACGTGCCATCTCCCTTCCAGCTCACCAACCACCAGGAGTTGTGGGCCTTCATTGTGACCAACCTGGCGAGTGTGTATATACGGGAAGGCAATAGACACCAAGAGGTAGTAGGTGACATGCTTCATGTTTGGTATCCTTTCTCTCCATTCTCCTCTCATTCGGGGTCCGGGGTGCTGTCCTGGGCACCAGCAAATCTCAGCAAGCCCCAGGGTGTGCCCCCTCCGACAAGGGATGACACCCTATGCAGAAGCACGAGCAGTCAAGGCCAGAGGCGGGTCGGTAGCCGAGGCTGGGAGAAAAGAGGCCAGGTGTGGGGCAAAAACATTCCTGCAGCCACAGAACATTTCCCCTGTTGAACAGGAGCCGAGCTTTATTGACTCCCACAGAAAAAATCTGCCACCCCGTAGCCTGAGCTGTCTGCTCTAGCACATTGGCCAGGTCTTGGGGCTCAGTCTTGAGGGGCAGAGGCTTGGGCAGTCTTGTGCCCTCACCCCGGGTCGTCTTGCCACCAGCCTTGAGGGTGGGTGTGCCTAGGGCCATCCTCACAGGCCAAGTGCCCTGCCCTCGGCTTCTGAGCTGACTCTGACAGGAGGGTCAGGTTCCTCCTGCCATCACCCTCAGCCCTGAGAGCCCCTCCCCCTGCCTTGGAGTCAACCTCCGTAAGTGTCTCTGATTGGGCCCCTTCCACACGCACAGCCTTTGTTCTGGTTTAGGCCCCCTTTGGCTCTTGTCTAACGAAAAAGGTAGCTGACCCGCCAGATTCCTCCCAGGAGGGTGGTTCAGGTGCTTTTGGCTGCAGGAGCAGAAGGCCCAGCGCTGGCTGCTCGAGCAGTCAGGACACAGCAGACAGGGTCGTCTTGGGGCTGGGTGTGTGCACAGAGTGTCGTGGAGGAGCCTGGCTCTCCTGTGTCTCTGCTGCCAGGAGGGGCTGGCTCTGGGTGCAGCCTCAGCCCTCTTCTACCCTTGTCTGCCAGCCCAGCCACACGGCAGCCAGAAGGGATCTAAAACATCAGTCCGGTCATCACACCCCTGTCAGAGCATCCCAGGGTCCCTGCATGGGAAAATCCACCCCTTGGCTCCCAGGGCCCATGTAGACCAGCCTGCTGACCTTCCCCCAGCCCCCCTCACCTGGCACAAGGCAGAGTAGGCTGAGGGTGTGAGGATCCCACCCCAGGCCCTTCACACCAGGGGCTGCTCTTGCCAGTCAGTCCCTGGGTCTCAGTGTCCCTGGAGGCCCCTTGTGGGTGTGAAGAAAGCCTCACGCTGAGATCCAGCCCCAGATGAACCACCCGCCTCCTACACGCTGCTCAGGGGCAGCTGAGCCCAGGGCATGGGACTCAGGCCTCCAGGTCGAGTCTCGAGGTCACAGCAGCCCTGGGCGCCTCAGCAGCACATGCCAGCCGCCCCTTCTCTGTGTGACAGTGCAGCATGGTCCTAACTGGCGCTTCCTCCCCCAGCTCTACAGTCTGCTGGAGAGGATAAACCCAGACCACAGCTTCCCCGTCAGGTGAGCAGCCCCAGGGGCCACTGCGTGGACCGTCTCGGGCTCCCTGTGCTCTGTGGGTGGGATGAGCTCCTGTGGGGGCCCTAGACCCCCCGGTGCACCCTTCCGCCCAGACACTCTGTAGTGGGGGCTTTCCGAGATTTGCCCCCGACACACTACCCTGCTTCTTTCTCGAAAACCCCACCCTGACGTGGCGCTCCCCCCGCCCCCCCAGCTCACACTGCCTGCGAGCAGCAGCCTTCTACGTTCGCGGGCTCTTCTCCTTCTTCCAGGGACGCTACAATGAGGCCAAGTGAGTGCTGGGCAGGGGGCGGCGGGCGGGTGGGGGCCGCTCTCTCCGTCCCACGGCCAGGGCAGCAGCCTCCTATTCTCCTCTTGCAGGCGATTTCTGCGAGAAACTCTAAAGATGTCCAACGCGGAGGACCTGAACCGGCTCACGGCCTGCTCCCTTGTTCTTCTGGGCCACATCTTCTACGTCCTGGGGAACCACAGGGTGAGTGCCCAGGCCTGGGCCTCCTCGCTGGCTGCTGGCTGGCCTTGGCCTGGATGGCTGGGGTGGGGAGCTTGGCACCCACAGTGGGACAAGTATAGGGCAGATGGCAGGTCCGAGGGGTGCTGGCCTCATGGCCTCCGCGTTGGTCAGGCGCAGCCCCGGAGCTCAGTGGAACCAGAGCCAGCGGGGCTGCCTCGAGCTGGCACAGATCACAGTAGGTGCCCCTCCCTGCGTGTTCCGCCACTGTCTGACACGCAGTGTCCTGCAGGGCACCAGGGGCCCCAGGACTGTTCCCCTCCAGGCCAGCCGGTCTCTCCTGGAACTGGCAGTCCCCAGCCCACTCATTGCCTGCACTCACCCGTCTGACCTCACAGACCTGTAATGTTTCTTTAAAGAAATATTTTGCCATATTATGAAATGTGACATGTTCAGAAAAGACTTAGAAGCAGAAGAGAAAAAAATTGTCCGTCCTTTGCTGTGCAGCCCTTCCCACTGCCCGCCTCCCATGCAGAGCTTTGGTTTGCTGATTTCACATCTTGCCTTTCTCCACGGTACTGTACCAGGACCTTTTTCTTTTTAAATGGCAGCGAGTGTTCTGAAGCGGCCTCCACGCCACAGCGCAGCCCGCCTCGCCTGAGCTGTTTCCGCAGCATAGATGGCGCAGGGCCCGTGTCTTGGCCTGTAGAATTTCCTCTGAGCAAGCCCCAGGCCTCCCTCCACGTGGGCCCCCAGGACCCCCTCTCCCAACAGCGATGTGGCCTTCGCTGAGGCCCTGCAGCTTGGTCCTGCTGGGCTGTGGCCTCAACATGAGGGATGCCACCACCATGAACGAAGAGGACAAACTCTGGGTGTGTCCTTCTAAGTGTAGCTACACTCCTACAGTGTCCTGTCAACCTGCCCTCAGCCTCTGAACACAGGGCAGCATGTGCCGCGGGGCAGCACAAGTGGCCTGGGTGTGTGTCCAGGGGCTCGGCAGCTGTGGCCCTGCTAAATGTGGGCTGCCACCTCCTGTCTCCATGCGGCAGCTGCGATTATCCCATTTGCTGGCCGGGGAGATTTAGATCACACAGTCCCAAACTGCAGACCCAGGACTGGGACCCAGACTTCACTGGCTCTTGTTTGTGTGGAAACCCCTGGAAGCCCCCTGAGTGGGACAGGGATGCTGGAACAGCTCTTCAGCTGCCGCTCTGTTTCATGTGTCAGGTGACACGGGCGAGGGTCTTACATAGTGCATTTGGGAATCCCCCGTGGACCCATGTGGGGTGACAAGGGGCTCCCAAGAGTCCTCAGGCTCAGGTCCTGGCCTCAAGTGACTCTAGGTATGGGGACACAGCTAAGCCGGGTCTTTCACTTTTTTTTTAAGAGGATGTTTTCCCATGTGGTAAAGGCTGAGGGCATCCAGGGGGGCGGCAGCCTTGGGGACCCAGTTGGTAGAGGTGCACACAGGGTGTGGTCAGCCAGGAAGGGCCTGGCACGGACACGGGCACCACAGTGGCCAGAGCATGAGTGCCCAAGTGGAGGGATGGCTGGCCGAGACAGGCTCAGAGGAGGCTCAGGAGGCCCTGCCAGGCCAGAGCATGCGCAGACCTGGCCCATCTCTCAGGGTCACCCACATCTTCAAAACCAGATTCTGGCCAACTGCCGTGGCTCATGCCTGTAATCCCAGCACTCTGGGAGGCCGAGGCAGGAGGATGACTTGAGGCCAGGAGTTTGATACCAGCCTGAGCAAGAGCGAGACCCTGTCTCCAAAAAAATGGAAAAATCAGCCAGGCATGGTGGCGAGCGCCTGTAGTCCCAGCTACTCGGGGGGCCAAGGCGGGAAGATCGCTTGAGCCCAGGAGTTTGAGGTTGCTGTGAACTATGCTGATGCCATGGCACTCTAGCCTGGGTGACAGAGCAAGACTCTGTCTCCAAAAAAAAAAAAAAAGATTCCGTGGAGCACCCCAAGGCATTGTTGGGGGAGCCTGCCTGGGAGAGCAGAGGGAGGACTGCCCCTCCTCTGGGCTCTCAGCAGAGGCCCTTGAGTGTATTCTGAGGTTTCAGAAGGGAGAGCACTGAGACACCCCTGGAGCTCACCTTCGAGGTACAGCAGGGCGCGGTGTGGAGTTGGTGGGTTTTTGCATCTCTAAAGCGGAATATTTGCTGAGTGTGGTGACTCACGCCTGCGATCCCAGCACTTTGGGAGGCCAAGGCGGGAGGATCGCTTGAAGCCAGGAGTTGGAGGTTGCAGTGATCTGTCATGGTGCCACTGCACTCCAGCCTGGGTGACAGAGTGAGACCCTAAAAATAAATAAATAAGTAGATAGATAGATCAGAATATTCCCCACACTGCTGTGGTTCTGGTGAAGCTGGCTCCCAGGAGTCGATTTTGAGGATTTTTATGTCTCTCAGCGATGTGACAAGTACTCCCAGGCTGCTGGGAGCCACCACAAAGGGAGTTCTCCCAGCCACACCCTGAACCCAACGACCAGGCCGGTGGGGCTCTCTGTCCTTGGCCCAGGCAGGGTCAGAGCAGCACTGCTGGTCACCACAGGGCCTGTGCAGCGCAGGCTTCTGCCCACTGCCCCCGAGCCCTCACCATGGAGACAGGGACAGGTGTTTTTATGGCCCCTGATGTCTCTCACTGGCCTCCTCTGGCCACATCCTGAGGACAGTGGGGCTCCAGGTGAGGGCAGCACTGTGGGGTCGCACGGCGGAGGATCGGGCTTGGAGGATTCATGTGCCCTGCACCCCCAGAGCCCCGTGTGTCTGCGGCGGCCTTCCACAAGCGCCAACTTGTATGTAAAACACACCTTCCTTTGTCGCTTCTTTACCCATTCAGCGGCCTTTCCTCCTACTGGAACAGGCCTGGGGCAGGCTGCACCCCTCCCAGGTCCCGGGTCCCCTGGATGAATCCGTGTTTCTCATTGGTTCATATTGTCAGTCGAGCTAATTGCCACCAGTGCCTTTTTCTCTGCTTGGAAAGACAGAGGCACCCGGAGTTGTCCACTGGCCTTTCCACCCTGAGGAGGAACACGCAGAGCCAGGAGTGAGGGTAGTTTGTTTTTCTCAAGGTGGGCCAGGAGTACTTCTGAGAGGGCCATTTGAAATGGGCTCTAAGGTAGAAGTAGGAGTTCTCCAGGCAGCAGAAGGATAGCACAGCCCTGGTTGGGTTTGGCACGTGGGTCCCAGGCTGTTCCTGCCACTGTCCTCTTAGTGCTCTCTTGGCTGCTGTTGATTGACAGGAGAGTAACAACATGGTGGTGCCCGCCATGCAGCTGGCCAGCAAGATCCCGGACATGTCGGTGCAGCTGTGGTCATCGGCCCTGCTGAGAGGTAAGTGCAACAGCTACAGCTCCTCCTTGACCCTGGCCTGGCCTACCCAGAGGTCAGGGCTGCTGGGCAAGCCCTGCTCGACCTGGGCTTCGGTGGCCCATGGCCCAGTTCCAGCACGGGTGGCAGGTACTCCTGCTGGAGCGCAGCAGGCACCGGACCCACTCATGTCATCAGCTCTGGGCAGGATCTGGTTCCGTCTGCACGACACCCAGAGGCTTAGCAAGCCCTGGCTCTCTCAGCCTCGACTGCCTCTTCCTACAGGCAGATAGTGGTCATCCTATAGGATAGGAGCAGCCAGGGTGCTCTGGGTGCAGGGCGGGTGCTCAGCAGGACCCAGTCAATGTTGACACTGCGGCTCCCCCAGGCTAGGAAACGGGTCCAGAGATGTGCCCAGGGCCCTGGGGAGGAGGGGCGGTGCAGTCTCACCTACAGTGGGTTGTGTGGCCTCCCGCCTCAGGAGAGGGCGTTGGGGCCCTGCCCCGGCAAACGCCTGTGCACTCGAGGGCTGGCCGGGGCTCCCTGGGCAGGTGAGTGAGGAGCCCAGCATTGGGTCCCCTCCCGATGCTGCCTGACCAGCCCTGTCCTGCCCCTCGAGGGTAGCCAACATGTGGCTTTGCTGTCCCAAGACAGGGCTCAGGGCCGGTGGCATGCCAGGCACCCAGAGATCCACTGGTGGAGCCAGGGTTTGACCTTAGGGCTCCACCTGCACCCAGTGGGGGGTGTGGGCGGTGGCAGGGCAGACAGTCCCCCATTCACGTGTCTTGCCTCAGACCTGAACAAGGCCTGTGGGAACGCCATGGACGCCCACGAAGCTGCCCAGATGCACCAGAACTTCTCACAGCAGCTGCTCCAAGACCACATCGAGGCCTGTAGCCTCCCCGAGCACAACCTCATCACGGTATGGGCATGCGGGGCAGAGCGGGGGGCCTGTGGGCTCCTTGGTGGGTCCCCCCACCTAGGGGAGAAAAGGGCACACTTGGCTATGTTTCTCTTTGTCCAACAAACCCTGACTCTGCCTCGGGAGCTCCTTCTGTTGCAGGAAACAGCTACGGACACCTCCACCCGGCTGGAGGGGCGGGCGATGCAGGGGCTTCTTGGGCACCTGTCGGGCTCGGATGTGGAGCACAGAGGGGCCCTGCTGGGTGACCAGCCCCAGGAGAGCAGCACTCCAGGCTCGCTCTCCCTGGGAACAGCCCGTGCCTCCTCACCCGTGTGTGTGCTCTCCTCCCTGCAGTGGACGGACGGCCCACCCCCTGTGCAGTTCCAAGCTCAGAATGGACCCAACACCAGCCTGGCCAGTCTCCTGTGAGGGCCTGGAGGGGCCGCCCAGCCACTCGGCCTGTGCGTCTCCACCTTCCATCCAGACAGCACGTGCGCATCCCCTGGAAGCGTGCTTCCTTCCTGACCGGGTCTAGAGCTTCCAAGTCCTGGGGAGTGTGCGGGGCCAGTTCCTGCCCTCCCAGCAGGGGCAGCTGGCCTTTCCCGCCTCGTGCCAGGACCCCTGGTGCTGAGGCCTGCAGGTGGACGTTGGAGCTGACTCCGGAGCCATCCTCTGAAGTGGACCCAACTGCCTGTCCACGTCTGAGTCGCACTTGCCAGGCGCACATCTGGGCTGGGAGTGGGTGCCGGTCCTGATCCTTGTGCCAGGTGGGCCGTACCTCAGGGGCATCGTCCCTGACCCTCCATCGCCCGGGCCTTGATGCCAGCCAGGGGCCGCTCAAGGCAGCCTCCAGAGTCTAAAGGCGAGACGCCAGTTTCTGGCCAAGTTTGGTGGGAAGAAGCGATGGCCACGTGTGGGACAAAGCACACGTCCCAACGCTTTCCTGGCTTGCCTTTCTCTCCAGCGTCAGTCCCTGTGACAGCCAGGGCCTCTGGTCAAGGGCCCTTGGGGATGCGTGAGCTCAGCCTCCAGATATCTGCAGCTCGACCGGATCCACCGGCCCGCCACGGGGGTGTTGCACAGGATTATAAACACAGGCGTGTGCGTGCGCGTGCGTATGTGCATGTGTGCGTGTGCGCGGTGGAGTTTCACAGAGCTGGGCGCTGAGACTGTTGGCGCCAGCCGCCTTCCCCCATGGTGCGGCTGCTGAGGGGCAGGAGGCGGGGAGGGGCGCCTTGCCCAAGAGTAAGCCCCGTCTCCTCAGGCTGACGCGGGCGCAGGGCACGGGCCCTCAGACCTGGAGCCAAGGGGCCTTCTTCCTGGCGGCTCTGCACGGCTCAGGCTCCTGGCCTCCCGCCATCCTCTCAGGAGAGAGGAAGACGCCCCCCCGGCCAGGTCTCTGGGGGACAGTGTCGGCACCTCTTCCCCAGCCGGACCCCAGGGATCCCCTGCTGGGCCCAAACAGCAGCACTTGGTTTTATGCTCTTGGATAATCGGAGAGGTGCCCCAGCAGTGACAGTGGCGTTGGGAATGGTGGCAGCTGGGATCAGGGATCAAGACACCACCCTGTCCAGCTTCCGGAGCCTGGGAGCATCTCCCTGCGGCAGGATGCTGGGGGTCTCTCGTCAGGGTGGGTGGCCGCTTCACGCCCTGTTGCCCGTGCACTCCTGGGCGTGTGGGTGCCTCTCACCGAAGGGATCTGGGCTAGCTCAGGTCGGCCGCTCAGACCCCTGAGGCCTGGGTGTGCCTTAGCCATAGCAGGGCCACCGCCCACAGCCAGAGTGGCATGGAGGACAGGCTGGTAGGGGCCTGTCCTGAGAGGACAGAGTCTCTGGGTCACCAGGGAGAGCCTGTCCCTGTCCTATGCTGCCCTGAGGGGCGGTCCCCTCGGCCAACACGCCCCCAGGCTGATGAGGCCAATAGAAGAGAGTGCAGCCTTGGCCCACACACTGTCCCCATCCTGTCTTCCTCCCCCCCAAGCCACGGCCTCTGCTGGCCCCACCTCGAAGGAGCCCCAGGGTCCTCCCCTCCGTCCCTGAGACGGCGCCTTCCATGCCGCCAGGGTCTGTTTCTGCCAGCTCGGCCCCCACAGCGTCCCGCCTCTCCAGACCCACGTTCACTCAATCACGTACATCATGTTCGTTTCTACCTATTTATTTAAGCCTTTCTTTGCTTCTAGGGCATTTTGTATGTAGAGCAATTGAAAAAAGAACCTCAGAACTTAACATCTGTCCTGATGTTGAAGTGCTTTTAGTGACCACCCTGTTATCTATGTATATGTAAAGTTAAGGATGAGATTTTCAAGTTTATAATTAAAAATTCAGTACTCGATATTTAATATTCCACTCGAGCTTTATGGAAGCCAAATCGTGTGTGTGTGTGTGTGTGTGCGCGCGCGCGCGTGTAAGTTTTGAACCTCCCTTCACAGCAGATCTGATTACACAAAGTACCTTCCTGTGAGTCCATAGTCGGTGCCTTGCAGTGTCTCGTTCGCTCCCAGGACTGGAAGGCTCCCAAGGAGACGTCACACACAGCGTCCCGTAGCTATGTGTTTAGGAAGAACAGATAAGAACTCCAGACCCCTCAGCAGACAGGAACGAAGGGGTAAAAGAAAGAGATTCTGGTGGCAGATCAGTTGCTGAAAGCTGGACGTACCCTTGAGTGCACCTCCCACCTGGTCCTATGGCCAGGGGGTCACGGGGTCCTCTCCCTGGGGTCAGCACTCCCAGCCCCACTTAGCAGGGACACAGGCGGGGAAATGGGAACCGCAGTGGCTAAGTGAGTGGGTTGTGTTGTCTGCTTCGTTCAAGCTTCCTAACAAGTACCTTTGGTGTAATGTCCTTTAATGGGTTTGTGATATCTTAATGGTTTTAGCAGCCTGTAACTTTTCAGCTGGTGCTCTTTTTGACCAGGAAAAATTTTTTTTTGTAAATACGAAACATTGTTTAAAGGACATAACCATAGAACATAGCTTCCCGTTTGTGGATTTCTCTTCCTATATATTCAAAGTAAAATAACATACAGGAGCCATTCACTGCGTCTTCGTCGTTTCGTCTGCCCCTCGCCCCAAGAGCCATCCGAGAGACAACTGCCACCCTCTGCCCATCAGTGGAGCCCTTCTTTGTGGCGGGGTGTGGGGTCTTCAGCCAACAGGGCGTGAGGACGCAGAGCCCCGTATCCTGAACTGGGCAACCTGATACTTGAGTCTTCATCTCCCTTTATTGATAATGGTCTGTCCCCACCAGGAGAGGGGACCCCCTGCGATGCCAGTACACAGGCCCTCCCATAGGCAGACTTGCTGTCACGCCTGGGTGTCCTTGTGGTCTCTGTTCTTAAAAAAAAATTTTCTTAAGAGACAGGGTCTCACTCTGTCACCCAGGCTAAAGTGCAGTGGTGCAATCATAGCTCACTGCAGCCTTGGACTCTTGGGCCTCCGGAGTGGTTGGGACTATGGGCTCATGCCACCACGCCCCGTTCATTTTTTATTTTTGGTTTTTTTTTTTTTTGAGACAGAGTCTCACTCTGTTGCCCGGGCTAGAGTGCCGTGGCGTCAGCCTAGCTCACAGCAACCTCAAACTCCTGGGCTCAAGTGATCCTCCTGCCTCAGCCTCCCAAGTAGCTGGGACTACAGGCATGCGCCACCATGCCTGGCTGATTTTCTCGATATATTTTTAGTTGTCCAGATAATTTCTTTCTATTTTTAGCAGAGACGGGGTCTAGCTCTTGCTCAGGCTGGTCTCGAACTCCTGAGCTGAAACAATCCGCCCGCCTCGGCCTCCCAGAGTGCTAGGATTACAGGCGTGAGCCACCGCGCCCTGCCTTATTTTTGTCTTTTTTAAGAGATGGGGTCTTGCCGTGTTGCTCAGGCTGGTGTAGAACTCCTGGCCTCCCAAAGTGCTGGGATTACAGGTGTGATCCACCATGCCCCCCCAGCCTTTGGCCTCTATGCACCTGTCGGGTTGTTTTGTTGTGTTTTCTGAGGTGAAATTCACATAGCATAAAATAAACTGTGTTAAAATAGACAGTCAGTGACATTGAGTACATTCACAATGTGGCACTACTATTACCTCTGTCCAGTTCCAGAACAATTTCATCCCCGCAAAGGGAAATCCCGTCCCCATCAGCAGTCACTCCCCGTCTCCCAGCCCCTGGCAGCCACTAATGTGCTTTCTGTGTCAGTGGATTTGCCTGTTCTGGACATTTTACGCTAATGGAACCACACAGGTTGGTGACCTTTTATGTCTGACTTCCACTCGGCAGCATGTTTTTGAGATTCATTCACATTGTAGCGTGGATCAGACCTTCATTCCTTTTTCTTTTTTTCTCTTTTTTTGTTGTTGCTTACAGTACTTTAAGTTGCTGTTTTAAGTGCTTCATTCCTTTTTATGGCTGAAAAATATCCCCTGTACGAGTGGACAGCATTTTGTTCACCCGCTCATCATCCACCGGTGGACATTTGGGTTGTTGCCCCCTTGTGGCAGCTGGGAACAGTGCGGCTCTGAACATGCCCGGACTCGGTTTTCTTTTTTTGTTTGAACACGTGTTTTCAGTTCTCTTCGGTTTGCCTGTGTCTTTAATGTGTGCAGATAGGGCCAGGCAGCCACTCCCTGTCCCAGCGCACACCCTGCGTTTGAACGTGCAGTGCGCCCAGGGGGCGTGCCCGCCACCCTTTGCCCCTGGTGCCTCATCATGGACCCACAGACCATCTCTGGGTCCTGCCTGCCCCAGGGGGCTCCTCTGGGCCATGGTCCTGGGGCAGAACCACTGGCCACTGCACGTGCGAGTGTCTGATTCCCAGCGTGGTAATCGCCACCCCCATCAGTGCCCGGGCTCCCTCTGCCCCGTCCCGGCCAACTCAGCGTCAAGTGGCCTTTTCACTCCAGTTAGACTCTGCTCAGCCCTAGTTGTCAGCTTCAATGTCATTCCCTCCGACAGGCAGGGGACCGTCATGTGCCCGTCCTACATCACCAGCCCCTGAGTTCTCACTCGACCCGAGCACGGTGTGAGAGGCCCACCATGGGACAAGCCACCCCGCCAGCATCCATGTCCATCTTGCCTCTGCCGTCCAGCAAACGCAGCTTCCAGAAGCCAGCACCCGAGGAATATTCCGGTGGAAATCCTCCCAGCGGCCACTTCATGTTCTGTCTCCATCTGTTCGGGCTGCTATAACAAGTTGCCACAGACTGGGCAGCTTATAAACAACAAATACTCATTTCTCACAGTTCCGAAGGCTGGGAAGTCCAAGATCAAGGTGCTGGTGGTTCAGAGTCTGGTGACGGCTGGCAGCTGGCTTGCAGACTGCTGTCCTCTCTCCGTGTCCTCACGAGGTGGAGGGAAGGGGCCAGGGAGCTCTCTGGCTCCACCCTCTCGGCCTAATCACCTCCCAAAGGCCCCAGCCCCAAATACCATCGCATTTCAACATGCGAATTTTTTTTTTTTTTGAGAGAGAGTCTCACTGTGTTTCCCAGGCTAGAGTGAGTGCCGTGGCGTCAGCCTAGCTCACAGCAACCTCACACTCCTGGGCTCAAGCGATCCTTCTGCCTCAGCCTCCTGAGTAGCTGGGACTACCGGCATGCACCACCATGCCCGGCTAATTTTTTCTATATATTTTTAGTTGTCCAATTAATTTCTTTCTATTTTTAGTAGAGACGGGGTCTCGCTCTTGCTCAGGCTGGTCTTGAACTCCTGAGCTCAAACAATCCACCCGCCTCGGCCTCCCAGAGTGCTAAGATTACAGGTGTGAGCCACCGCGCCCGGCCTCAACATGCAAATTTGGGGGACACAAACATTCAGTCCCTCGCACATCCCCAAGCAGGCCACACAGACCCCATCTCAGAGCCTGTCGACGGCCAGCTCTGTTGACAGGACTGTAACCCAGATACGGTCCACATGTGGGAGAGACACAAGCAAGAGCCACCCAGGCCGACATGCAGGGAAGGCCCAGAGGGCAGGGGAGGGCTTGGCCAGGGACAGGAAATGCAGAGAAGACAGACAGAAGGAGCCGGAAAGGAGGGACCCACGTGAGTCAAGGGAAGTGCACGTTGGAGCCAAGGTGGGCAGACCGTCTGGGCTCAGCAGGCGCGTGCCCCAGGACAGTGCCCAGGTGCCTGGCCAAAGAGGTCGGACCTCATCCAAGAAACTAGCAGGTCCCAGATAAGTGAAGGACAGCCACCATGGTCAGGGCTTTGGGAACCTATCAAGGAAAGCCAAACAGGTTTTTTTTCAGCAGGACTCGCTGAGACAAATGCACCATGTGAAGAAGCTCATGGGGTCCGGCGTGGCTCATGCCTGTAATCTCAGCGTTTTGGGAGACCAAGGCAGGGAGAATCTTTGAGTTCGAGACCACCTGGGCCACATAGTGAGACCCTGTCTCTACAAAAAAAATTTTTTTTTAATTAGCCATGTGAGGTGGTCTGCACCTGTGGTCCCAGCTACTCGGGAGGCTGGGGCAGGAGGATCACTTGAGCCCAGGAGTTCAAGGCTACAGTGAGCTATGATGACACCACTGCACTTCGGCCTGGGTGACAGAGCAGGACTCTGTCTCTAAAAGAAAGAAACTCACGGGATCTACAGAACACACTACTTAGAAAGTGGGCGACAGAAACACCCAGGAGATGGCCTCAGGGATCAAGGGAGGACAGGAATGGGCTTCACAGAGGCCAGCAGGCAGCTGGGGGCAGCTGGCCCATACAGCAAGTGATCATTAGTGACCCTGACACATGCCCAATCCTCTGAAATCCAGCCCGTCACTCCTTCGGCTCCTGGCCATCTCCACTGCCCCTCCCCAAGTCCAAGCCACCGTCTCTCACCTGGATGTCCTCCAGCCTCCTCTCCGGTCTTGCCTGCCTCTGCCAGCCCCTCTCAGGTTCCTGAACATTCCACCCTCACTCCCACCTGCCCTTCTGCCAGGGCTGCTCCCCTCGGTGCCTCATCACCCCGAGTCCCTTGATAAAGCCCTTCCCCTTCCCCTCTGCCCACCACTGTGGGGTCCCCAGAGAGTAAGAGGGAGAAGATTGTTTACACATTTCAAAGTTTCTCATTTCACCCCAAATTCATGTTCACATGGTGAGATTACAATCCAATCGGCTGAAAAAGGAAAGAAAAAGATTAATTTCCAGGTGAATTTGATTTCCTTATACTTTGACATTTTGGATAATTTTTTTTAGGAACCAGGAAGTAGCTGAAGAGACTCTTACAGCGCTGCTTTATGAAAAACACAAGACTTCCAACGCCTTACTTGCTACAAATGTCATTTGTGAACTAGTGACATTCTCACACTAAATCAGGTGTCTGTGGGAGACAAATCAGCACCTGTTGTCCCCATCCCTG